AGCGGTGCTTTAATGGCTATGCTAGGCAGCAGCATACCCCTTTGCAGCAAACACGGAGGCTTTACTGCCCCCGCCGGCCTGCGACTATTAAGAGTATTGGCTCCCCAGGTCGCATGAATCATTCAAGAACCGTGCATACAAAATCTGCCTGAACGGAAAGCTTATGAAGCAATAACACTGCAATGTAGTGCTTGGGATTCACAGCCAAAAGATTCTATATCATGATATATTCTATGCTACTCTTTCAATGGAAGTCGAATTTGTGGAGCATACCAAAATGAGGTTAATTCAACACCGAACGCTTCATTATTATCTTGGATATCTACTGGATCAGTCCCTTGTCGTGCTTACTGTTTCCATTCTTCAGGAAAATAGCTGAACGGTTTTATAGTCCTGAATAGCCTCTTTCCCTTTTTTCAAAGAATTAAAAAGGTAGACACAAGAAGGGAAACGAAATGCCCACGACGTTTTGCCCTGTGAACTCCCGAACACTACTGTTGCAGCACTGTCTTTGCTTCAACCACTCCGTTCAGAGAATCGTGTTAGCAGATTGTTGGTAAGAACTTGAGATTCAGCGTTCGAACCGCACATCTATACTATGCATCCTCCTTCTTGAATTGAACCATGACAACCCTGGAAGCTTTCCTTAAGAAACTATTTCTCAATTCCGGCCCAATGAAGCTTTCTATCTCTCCGTGATCACTTGACTGCTACTGGACTCTCTAGGAGGAAGCAGCACCGACTTGTACGTCGGATGCCCCATAATACTTTGCATCGGTATTAATATATTTCACCATTCAGCGGTCGCTACTGTTTTAATGGCCAAGTCCCGGAATTTGTGAGTCATACAAATGAGGTAATTCAATACCGACGCCGTTCCTTCTCTGAAATCACAATAGCAGACGACTATCTAAGGCTATAAGCTGTTGAACCAAGAAGCCTCGCAGGTCTGTCTGTTTTGATCATCACTCCCAGGCTAACGTCAGACGAATGAGTCACTGATAACAAGCAGGGAAAAAAGATAGCCTTTCTAGTTGATTTCTGCTATCAGCAAGCATAAAAGGCTGTATGGTGTTCTTTGCTCGTCTCTTGTTTTCTCCTTTGATTCGTCAACATCAACTCATTCCGTAATTACCGTCCCGCATTTTTACACTACACTCATTAATATTTTCCACGTTACAGAATAAGTTACTGAACATCTTGCACTATCACATAAAATGCTTCCCTCAACTTCCAGTGCCATCAGGTCCAAAATTGCAGAACTCACAAACTGAGGACGACTGAGTTAGAGACATTTTTGCAGTGCTAACACTTAATTTTTGCTTCCGAGACACAAAAGAAAACAGTTCCTCTCTAGAGTGGAATAGTTTGTGCGCATTGAAGTATACCAAAGGTCAAACGTGTCGAGCAACGTAGGCAAAAAGGCCGTGGCGACCAAACCAATCCCCTCCATCACCTCTGGACGTGGTTGCACATCAAAACACCACGCTCGCAAGTCGGAACGGTCTCCGGATATCTGTCAACCGTGAGCCGCTAGGCAATTCAGCGTTTTGTTGTGCTGTCTGGGAGCTCTCACACAAGCGCACTATTACAGAATCTCCGCTTTCTTTACCTCCTTTAAAAGGCTTAGTCCCACTACCACAAAGAACGTCTGCTTTTCCTTCTACACTCTCACCCCCCTGGTTGACAGAACCCATTTGTACTTTCGAAAACAGCGCGGTTATAGACCCCGAAGTCCTGTTAGCATATCCACACGCGCCCTGGCGCTAGCTATGACCGCCCTCCCGGAGGTGGTGTTGTGAACGGTAATAGGGCCTGCCAAATCACGCTGGGTTGATTACCGTCCCCAATACCACTTCTAAATTTAGGCTTTTGTCGACGTTATTTCTTTTCCCCCTTTATTCTTCACTGTCGTTCTTATTTCCGCCCAAATCGAGTCCAAGCTTAAGTGTCTTTCAAAATTTGCTACCGCAAAGTGACGTTTACCTTCTAGAAAAGATTTCTATGGCAACGAGGACTTCCGGACAAACCCCCCACCCAGCAGATGAAGAAAGAAGTTGAATAGCAAGGAATGTCAACCGGGTACGAAGTGGTACATTTCGTTCTCAGGACTACTTATGGTGAACACTATGAAATGCATGAAGTGGGTGAGTTTTCTGGCAACGGGTGAATGCAAAAGGCTAGCGGGTAAGATTTCAAGCAGTTGCCATGATTCCATCTCTCAAGTACCCGCCATGTATTAGAATTGTAGCCAAAAATGTTTAGACAACTAGGCGGTATTTGAACCAACCGCAGGATCGGGTAGGTGCTCCAGAAATGATGTGTGCTTTTATTGAAATGTCCTCTGAACACGCGGCGGCGACGCCGCATAGTCGACCTCCGTTCAGATTAGTTGAGGCCTTTTTGAGTGATGGATTCAGACATGAGCTCGTGGATATTTGAGCCATATGGTATAGAAATTCTGATTGAGGTCATGAGCACTTGCGAATCGCACCAGCTGGGCTACTAATCAGGATAAGCACTACCTGGTGCAATAGCCATGGGTTGTGTCCTGCTGGGATGGAAATTCAGCCAACAAGTTCAGACTGGCAGTCTTTTGGGGAACACTGTAACGTCAGTCTTTTTCGTTGCCGGAGCATGCCATGGTGGATACTTCGGTGAGCGACGTTTTGTGAAGATTGTACCCGTATTTACATAGGGAAAAGAACTCTGCTATGCAAATTCACTGAAACAACTTGTTCAGGAGCTTTCGGAGGAGCGTCAGCCGCCATGGCCGTTTATCCTTGCTTTCCCACTATTGTTGCTGGTGCACTCATGGGTGGTGTTCTGGGCGTTCATGTGGGAGCATGGACAGCAGCGATGGTGGCAGAAGGAATTGTGTATTGGATTGGACAATTATTCGCTCACTAGTCGGTTCCTCATTCCTTTTACTAATGTACGAAATAGTCGGGTCACTTCAGGCGCCTTTACATCCTCATCCTCATCAACTTGTTTAATATTGCTCTCGCTTTAATATCTTTCGTCTGCGTTGTTCTTGCGCTTCCCCCTCTTCCTACGAACCATCCTCTTCCAGTAGTCCTTACATCACTAGACCCGTAACGCCACCAACCAATCTTTGCGACGAAAAGTCCAAACATCTGCCTAAGCTGCGCAATTTTCCCGTTCCAAACCTCCATCGACCTGAATACGAGATATTTCCAACCATCACCCACTGCAAATTTGCCCCCTCACATACGCACCATAGTACGTAGGAATTCCTCTTGTTCATCCAAAAACTTTGCATGAGAGATGCGAATGTATGACCAAGGCCTAAACATTTCTGAGAACAAGAGATGACTGATGTCACTGGCTCATGACAGTGAACCAACCCTATACGATTTTATTCGATATGTTAACTCTTGGGGCGGAAGTGGTGTAGTGGCAAGTGGCACGCTTACCACGCGAGCGGTCCCGGGATCAAATCCTGGGTCGTGAGTCGCCCGGGCCAACCAAGCCTTCCATCCCTCCGGGGTCGGTTAATTGGTACCAGACTTGTCTGGGAGGATAAAAACACTGACTTGAACATCGGCTGGCCCCCGCAAGTCATTGTATAGGCCACATCGCATTCAAATGCCACTGCGAATGTACAAATGGAAGTAGAATGCGTGCTGCATACCAAAAAGGGATTGTTCAACGGTAAATGCTTTATCCTTTTATTTTTTATAGTAATTATTCTCAAATGAGTCACGGGATGTCACTCCACCGGACTCTTACAAGCCGAGACTCATTTTTTATCTCCACGTCACTGCAAGTCAAACTGCAGCTAAACTTTCTCCATTACCTCAGTCTCGAAAGCGTTTTCCTACCAGTGTACACGTAAATAAACTCCATGTGCGGAGGATAGAGCTTCCCACCACAGTTGCAAATACCCCGTTCTCCCAAGTTCTGATTGTGCAGTAAGGGCTCCACGCTTATAGTTAGACCGATTCCGATTCTCCTCGTTCACAATGCGGGATTTCTGAGCCCTCTCAACCGTTATGCTCTACTGCCTAATCTTTCTTCTCTGCACTTACCAGGAAAGGCATTCAACTTCCCATGGAACTTTGAGATGAGACCCAGATATATCGATAGAGCTTCAAACGCTGATTACAAATATGGAAACTAAAACTGCAAAATGAACCTGCCAAGGAAGTTGTGAGCAGTCAAAGTTGGCTGGAAGTAAAGCATTACGTATTAACCGTGCTAGCCTCCGGCTTTCAAACTCGCTTGAAGTAGTGGTAGTGCTCTCGAAATTTGCATTCCAACGGGAACAGAGCTCATGACCTTCCAGGTGGAGCTGGCAATAGCGCTACCACTAACTCCGCGGCGTTCCTGAAAAGCCCCCCGGCATCCAGTATACGGTTTCATATGCAACGCTTTTACTTTAGCCAACTTTGACTGCTCACAACTTCCTTGGCAGGTTCATTTTGCAGTTTTAGTTTCCATATTTGTAATCAGCGTTTGAAGCTCTATCGATATATCTGGGTCTCATTCAAAGTTCCATGGGAAGTTGAATGCCTTCCCTGGTAAGTGGAACCTTATTTTCGCACAGCTGAATTACAAAAATGGGTAAGCTTCCGATTTTAGCATTATCGACGATTGCTGGTTTCCCCTTTTCCTTCACTACCGGGCCGCTTCCCACCCTACTTTCATTTTCATGAACAAAAATTGCACGAATTTGATCCGGGGTGCCTGCAAGGTTGACGACGAGGGCATACCCCAATTTCAACTCGGCGCTGAATCATTCTAAATATATAGTCAAAACAATACGTAACCTGGCTTTGGATGTTATCATAACCACTAACTAAGCTCACCATTACTTGATCATAATTTCTGTTTCATTCAGGAAGTGTAATGATGGGTGTACAAAAATACGAATAAGTCATGCAGATGTTTATCAAAATAAAAAATTAAAAGATCACAAGTTATGAATAGAAACGTAAATTGAGCATCCTATGGGAACACGGGGTACTTTGCGATGATTAAGATGAGGTCCATTTTGGTGATCGTTTCTCAGCGAATGCACTCATGCCTTCTTTACGGTCTTTCTGTAATGGATCAAAATTTCCAACTCCACCTAAAATGACGACAACAAAGGACAGCTTACAGTTGCGAAGGTGGTGTGGAATAGCCGCCGCTCGATTCGGAGGCCTTCATTCAATGTTGTTTCATAGGCGGCGTTGACGGCTTCCTAGAATAATGTGACTCAAGAGAACCGTACTCATGCAGGTGAATAACGGTCGAGGAATTCCTCGACCATGGCTCTGTACTGTGCGAGAGTAGTGCCGAGAGTGAATGTACGCGCGGAGAGCACAGACGGCTCGCGCGTGGCGAGAGTGAATGTCCGCGCGGGAGAGCGTGACTGAACAGGCGAAAATCCTCGACGAACCGTCGACAAATCCTCGACCGATTTTCACCCTGCTCCTAAATGCCTATTTTCCATAAGATCCTGTCTCAAAATCGGATTTATCACTGGATAAGAAGCAACCAAAATATTTGCTACAGATCAGTTCCACACCAAATGGCGTATAGTAACCATAAAGTGAAAGTGAGGCAAGACCAAAGGGTGCTGCTGCGGCATGCATGCATGTTCCTTTTCCAAGGTAGCCTACACCCCTGAAAACTTTTCGGCTTTAATTGAGTGCTGATCCAGCGCTACGGGACTAGGCAGGGACAGTCTGCAGGGGACTAAGGCGAGTGACAGAAGTGGTCGTAGCAGTTTTCGTCTCACAGGATAGCCTCGCTGGAGGCGTTTTGTCGCTCAAGGAAGGCGCTGCCCGACCACATATGATCTTGAGCACTTCGAGGTTCTTTGGCCACAAGAGCCAGTCAGAGGGTTCGGCGGGACCTTCACTCCACTCGCACATCACGTCAAGGATGGAAAGCAATACGAGCGCATTTTGCACTTGGAAATAGCCACTGTGGCAGCTCGAAGCCTATCCCGGAGCCTCGATCTTTACTTTGTCAGAACTCACACCACTCTACCTACAGAGCTAATCACTTTATAATTTGTACCCTAAATGTTAAAACATAGCCCGTTCGGTCCCCACGACGTGCACGACAAGCGAATACGGGGCGCTTCCGCCCGATAAGCTGGCTAAAGTCGGGCTCGAGCATTCCTGTGCACAGCTTCGTTTGTAGCGCCTGACGCCAATCTTCCTACGATTCATGAGACATCTCCTGGTAAACCGCTATCCAACGTTAACAGAGTCCGTCAGGCCGCTGTCATTGATGGCTGCTTCTCCAGCACATCCATGATAATGGCCGAACTTTGAAATTAGTTCGTCCGTAACAAAAATATTCCCCACTTATTTATTAATTTATATCTAGTATTCACCATCCAGATCATCTTTTCTGATTCATGTTTTTGTGCCTTTTCACTATAGCTTTTACGGGTTCCCGTCACACCTTTTTTCTCACACATATTTCAAGCTGCTGTGATTGTGATATCATATATAAATGGTTGTCAATAAATAATAATTAGCGCTCATCTAAACTACAAATGGTAAAATATTCATTCTGCCCGTTCTCCACATTTGGTAAAGTGCAACTCGAACACTAGTAAGGGTAACAGCCCTGTAGCTCACTGGACATGAGATCATGCCCAGGAGGGAGAGAATCCGACTAGTTTGGCTACCTGACAAGAGGCTCATCACGCGGCGAGAAGGCAGAGAGGCAGAAGGGTCAGCGGACGAGTCGCCGCGTGCATTGTGAGATGGGCTTGCTACTATTGCAATTCAACTTGACGGTCCATAGTTCGAGCTGCGAGTCGCCCGCTGACCTCCAGTCGCGTTCTCGCTGCGTGACGGTCCCTGTCGGGTACCCGTCCAAATTCATACACATACCTTTGCATTGTACGATAGAGGTGATTGTTTTCTGCAATTCTTCTTCACCAAGCTTAACTAGCTTCACACTGTTCAGCTGGATACAACCTAAATTATTGGAAAGAAGATTTTGAACAATAGCTAGTCCCATTTTGCGAATTGTCACTCTTATATGCACAGATTGCCGAAAACGGAAGAAATCAGGTTTACCTTCGAAACTATTCCGCATTCCTTCGCCTCTTGAGCGCTTACTCGGTTACCTGTCAAGCAAACTTCCATTGCCATGGATTTTCCCGCAACACGAGCCCATCGTTGAGGTTCCACCAGCTCCTTAAAATGGACATATTGTCGCTCTGCAAACTTCATCGCAACAACTACATCTTGTGGATTTATTTACGTATTTTTGTATTTACTTTGCACTTATATGTATTTGTGTATTTGTCCTGTATCTTAATAGAAGCTTTCGGTTACACTTTTCTTATCGTTTTTAGAACTGTAAAGGACTGAACAAATCACATTTGTACTTATGTCGCAGAATAAGTCAAACCTAAAAAACAATAAAGCCTCTCACACCCACCTGGAATTGTGCCAATGTTAACCTCCGGCTGTCCAAACTGTGCTTTATCGCCGGCGTAGATTATGTCACACATCATGGCCAACTCACATCCACCGCCAAGAGCATACCTAATGAATGCAGATAGACTACTGGTAGAACATTAAAAAAAACTTAGATTTTGTGCCCCGTCGCAGTATATTCTATATATCGTACATTTTTTGAAGTACATATATTAAGCACACTGAAAACTTCAGAGCAATGTTCGGTGTTAGGTCAGGAGCTCAAGCACATTCAATTTCTGGTACTGTGAATCATATCATATTTATTATGCAATCCTATGAAACACTTTTGTTCCTCATTGTTTTTACCTACCCGACCCCAGCAAAAGTAAAGGCACATTCCACGACTAACCGACTGAAAAATCTCTCCCCTGAGTGGAGTTGGCTTGCGAATCGGGTAGCCGATTCTCAAGCCACTCAGGTAAGAGGTTTTTCAACTGAACTGAAAGCTTCCTGACAAGGTCGATGGGAGCGAGCCGATAACGGTCCAGGAAATCCTCGACCATGGCTCTGTACTGTGTGAGAATAGTGTCGAGAGTGAATGTACGCGCGGAGAGCACAGACGGCTCGCGCGTGGCGAGTGAATGTCCGCGCGGGAGAGCGTGACTGAACAGGCGAAAATCCTCGGCGAGTCGTCGACGAGTCCTCGACTGTTGCTTTGATAAAAAAAAGCCGTCTGATCAAAGTCTTTTCAGGCTTCTACGCTGCCGATGAACAGGGAAGGCTAGCTAGGGACATTGTTGGGAACTTAGTTTGCTTTTTACTGGCACACTAATTCTGTAGTTTGTACCTTTCCTTTCATCTAAACGCGCCGGATTTCACCGTGAACTGTGCCTTTAAGCCGAAATTCAAGGAACGGTGTATGAAAAAAGCTCAGTCAAAATCGACCCTTCATTTTTGGTACAAAGCCTTGACAACTCGAACAACAATCGGTAGCTCCAAGATCTAAGGATGAAAAGAAGCCAATCTTTTTTTTATTGAGATCTTCAAATCCATCGCTCAAATTCCAAAATCTCCGTCATAACAAGCAAAAAAAAGGAGAAAAGGGGACACTGAATCCTTTAGTAGGCTTCTGAAACCTTCTTGTGTCATCGAGATGTGTTGAAAGGAAAGACAGAAAATTTATGACCCTTCTGAGAGAGCATTCCGAGAATGAGCTCACCCGTTGACTGCCGCAATGACGGGTTTGGCCGTCTCGCTCACAGCCGTCCATTCCTCAAGGAAACGACCTTGATACGTCGTTGCAAACTCCCGGTTAACCATTTCCTTGATATCTGCTCCCGCTGTAAAATAAATAATTTATTTCGAGTTGTTTCACAAAATGATGAGCTGTATGTAGTATCGACGGAAAAGGCTAAACTGAATTGCGCACCAGCAAAAGCTTTCTGATTTCCTGTGAGGACGATGGCACAGCCAATTGAAAGCTGTCCAGGAATCCATGTTCTCGCATGATGTGAAGCCCTGAAGCATTCACTACCATATATAACAATCGCAGAAAAGCTACAGCAGCTGCCGGTGACTTTTTTGTGTGCGCGATTGAAATCTGCCACATTCCTTTTTTCACGATACAGATGCAAGTAAAATTCGCGGCGCACCCCCAGCGAATGCTCTGTGCGGACATTATGTTGCCCTGACTTCTTTATTTGCACCTATCTTCTCCGAAATTCCCGTTTGCTGCGAGACTCAATAGAACAAATAAAGATTTCGAAATAACAAAAGGGAATTTTATAAATCTGTTTTCTCTTTTTACTAATGTGTAGCTGCTCTGCTGATTTAATCGATTGAGTTTTATTTGAATGTTTCCGCTGAAGCTGTAAGGTGACCTAGTCCTTGGTCACTGAGCCACCCCCCCCCCTCCCCCCTGTACCCAACCAGTACCCGTAGCACGAAATAAATCGAACACTTCCGCCAGAAATTCGCCAAACAGAGAGGTTTACACAACGGTCACAACTAGAGAAACCCGTAAAGATCCAAAAACCGCTAAACAAAAAATTGCAAGGCCCAATGCAAATCCTATTCCCACCCATTTCGATGGTGGACTATCAGGAGCACCCAGGAAAACTCCCTTCCCCTATTCGATCTCTCCTCACTCCACCCCCTATCATGGATTACTACCTTGAACGAAGCTCGGTGGAAACTACAGATTAACAGGATTAAGCATTCACGTTGAATGAACTCTTTTAGAATTGCGCCATCACTCTAACTTCCTTTCGAAAGTTCGTGGTGGAAACATTTTAGAGCGATGGGCCGATATCAGATTAGGTTCTATACCCCGCCCGCTCACGACGAGTGCGTAACCAAAGCGACTCAGGGTCTTGGATGGATCTGGCTGGGCTGAAATGAGATGCCGATCGAGATCTCAACCCTGGCCGATGCAGAAGTGCGGCCTACTTGAACTAACAAGTCACCTCTCCAAGTGATGATCGTACCAGATGGCGTAAAATCCTACCTCGGACATCAGCTGGTTACATAAAGCGTTGAATGCTTTGGGACGATTCAACGTTATGAGAGCAACATTCTTCTTGGCACCAACTTTTTCGACTTTGATCATTTCAGGGGCTGCAATAAATCAAAATCGATACAGAAGTAAATAGGAGTACATATTCATGGCAAAGGAAGAGGTGATGGGTACCAGAAGCCATGGCAGCAGTTTGGATCACGTTCAGCCGGAGGGCACCACAACGGCCAGCAAGAATGGACAATCGAAGCATGGTGGAACGATCCTGAACAAGTCGCACCACATTTTGCCGCTCGATAACGATGCGAACGTCGCGATAAGGCAAGATGAGACGAAATGTAGGCATTAGGCAAAAAACGCTCTTGCGAAAATGCTCCAAACAGAATAGCCAGTTACTTCGATTTCTTGAGTAGCTTGCGGTGACGGCGAACGAGGTAACCATAAGCTGCAAGGGTGGGAAGGGGGGTAGGCGACAACAGTCCCACAAAAAAGGGATACAATCAAAAGGTGTTCCAGACGTGTGATAAATAGAGCTCGGGAAGGTCTGGGTATTTAGAGTTAGTGCGACTTCCGCCACCTCCTACCAAGGGTAAGGGCTCAAATTCAGGATGGTTGACGTGGAGGGAGATGCAAATGAGATCTGACAAAGAGAGGTAGGATTTGGGCCATAATTAGCGTTCATGTTGCAATCTTACGGGTATCTTCCCTCTAATCATAGGAGGGGACTGCGGGAGGGGATACAATGAGACAAAGGGTAGTGAAGAGAAGAATCGAGCTTCTCTTTCACAGGGTCATAATTAGCGTTCATGAGCAATCTTCCGTGCACCTTCTCTTCAGCCATAAGAGAGACGGGTACAAACGGTCCAGGGTGAGGGAATAAAGAGACAAAGGGTAGTATAGAGGAAAATCAAGCTTCTCTATTAGAAAAGTTCGTGCTAGTATGCGTCAATGACCTACCTGCAAATTTTATTATAAAAAATCTGGTGCGAAAAAGAAGTTTCAAGAATAACTCCGGGTACGATTTGAGCAGCAGTACGAAATGCTCTACAGCACGAATGGTAAGCGACAAAGAGCGATTTTTGAAGCGTACTGCGAAATGCTGTAAATTAATAGCGGCGTAAGTTACGGTAAACGACTCCAAGCTAAGCGAAGAGAGTGGATAGGGTGACTACGATTTAGCTACAGCAGGTGAAAAAACCCACTTGATGCCACTGATATAATCAATCTTTCTGCGATGCAGTTTAATCAATCAATCTTTTACGATTTTAGCCTGAGCAATGTTGGGAGAGGTCAAGCCAATGAAAAACCAACTATTTTTATGTTCATGCTCCCAATTAGCACCAGGAGAGTTAACAAGTTCAGCCACTGTGTTATGTACAACAAATTTGAAGTCAGCACCACCTTCTCTCCAATAACCCACCCCTCTCCCGCGTTGAGAAACTCTGAGTCCGCTAAGGCTAAATCTAAAAGTGTGAAATGGATAAACAGCCACAATCCCTTTCTAGACGCGCTCATGGAGCTTTCCACGGACTCGTGCTGGCATTCTTGGCGATTGTTCTGAGCATACGAACTTCCGCGATTAGTCGATGTAATCCTATCAACTGTTTTTATTCTCGCCCGCCAAGTACTGTACCCATAGTGTTATGAGCAACCCATGAAGGTAGGAAGCCTTGGTGTGCCTGACATTATTCGCGATCCGAAGATTAGTCCCATGGAAAAGCCACTTGTCACTACATCACCCCTGATCGGAAGGTAAGTACAGTGTGTCCCAAAAGTATAGGGACACCCTATTTTTCTTCAGTATCTCTGTTATAAACAAATGATTTCTCTCCAAATTTTTATCAGCAATGCACTTTTACACCACTGTACAAATATTAAGCGAAATTGGAAATTTTGAACTTTGCTGCTGTTCTAACAAGTGTTACTATACTTTTGGGATTTGTGAATTTTTTTCTAAAATCATGGCGTCCCAAAAGTATAGGGACACTCGGTTCTTCAGCAGTGTTTCTGACTTAGGTGAGTTGTGAAACCAATTTGTCACTGCTCTACTTCCCACACTTGTTCTACAGTGCCATGCCACGAGGAATGCACCTACACGACTTTGAGAAAGGCCAAATTCGGGTTACAAGGATATGGGACTCAGCCACCGCAGCATTTCAAGGAAATTAGGACGATCAGTCAACTTGGTGAGCAAATTCTGCAACAACATCGACTCCTACGGTACGAAAAAAGGAGCGGGAGACCTAGGAAAGTTTTGGAAAGGCAGAAGCGCCGAATTCCTATGCTGCATCCAATTCCATAAAGGGTGTGAGGCGGCTGAGCAAGGAAGTAGCACCCGATTTGTCGAGAAGTACTGGTCATCGTGTGCTCAAATCATGTCCCCACATCGTTCAAAGGCAGTTTTCAACAGTGCCATGTTTGACGAGTGCGTATGAGAAGCACGAGTCTTTTTCGCAAAGGAACACGTAAGGCTGGACTCATCAATGGGATGAGGCACTTTGCACTGGCGGATTCCGCATGTAATATCATACACTGTAGTGCTCCAGGTGAATTTTTCCGATGAAAAGAAGTCTAATTTGGATGGACCCGATGGCCTGGCAAGCTATTGGCGCGATTTGAGGAAGGAGCCACACTACTTTTCCAGACGCGGATTCGGTGGCGGTAATGTCACGGTTTGAGCTGCCTTCACAGCACTTCGTAAGAGTGAACTGGTTTTTGTCACGCAACGCTTGAACTCCAGTGGCTACAGGACCATCCCCCAAAACAATTCGTACCATACATGCAGCGATTTCCACCCTTTAAGTTCAAATTTCAACAAGACAACGCCGCCGTTCGTTCGCACAGGACGTTTACGCCAACTGCAGGCAGTTCTGGAACGAAATACAGCTGAAAAACGCGGTCAAGGAGGGTTGCATGCATATATCGCCGGAAACGATCTCAAGGCTTGTCCAAAGCATGCCGAAGCGGATGATGAAGTTATCGAAAGAAGAAGAAATGTTACTACTTTTTAATTATTATGTTATTGTTGATTTCATCAAGTATATCGTTCGGGAAGTTTGAACGCCGAAGTGTCCCTATACTTTTGGGACGCCATGATTTTAGAAAAAAATTTAAAAAATCTACAAACTTTT